CCGGCTGCTCCCAGGGACCTGCCGCTCCTCCTAGGACAACTGGAGGCCTGGTGCTTGTTCTCACGTTCAGCAGCCCTGAGTATCGGCTTCATCCCTCTCCTGGCGGGTTACCAACAGCTTTCCTAACACCGCTTCCTATCTCTGCAGATCTCCCACCGCCTCGGAGTGCTTGCTCCCGTGCTGTGGGCGAGCACGCGCCCAGGGCAGCGGGTCACTGTCTGCGGACGTTCCACTGGGAGTGGACGCCGGCAGGCAGGAGGGACCGGAAGCTTTCTTCTCCTAGTTGTGACCTGTACAGTCCTCTAAACACAGGAAACTGCGCTGTAACCTCATTACATTTCACGTTGTGCGACTCAGCCCTCCCGTTCCAGGCTGGCTAAGGCCCTTGCATCCTGGCTCCCGTCTCTTCTTGGCCTTGTGATGTTCACAAGTGAGACGGGTCTGCCCCGGGCCTCACTCAGCTGTTAACGAAGCGCTGAACAGAGAGGCCATGGGCTGAGCCCTGGAACTCACTTCTCTAAGAGCCTGGAGATTCCAGAGAGAAGTAGTCACCTTGGCTACCAGGACAAAGTGGACAGGCACTGCCTTTAATTCAAAACACCATGCTCTTTAAAATACGCAAGTGCAGGAGACTTGGCATATTAAAGGCCTTTTTTCAAATCAGGCACAGGCTGCAGGGCCCTCAACCAGGACGCTGCTGTAAGACTCTTCCTGCCTGTGAGCTGAGGCACCGACGTGAGATTTGACTTCAGCAGTGAGGCTGAGTCACTCTGGCCTGTTCTGGGAGACTCACTTCCAGAACGGGAAAGGGTCAGTGTGGGGACAGACAGCTCTGGGGAGGGTTCTGTGGAGGGGCCACCTAGGTGGAAAGGGAGTGTGTCTGACACCAGGCTGTCCCTCCCAGAGGTTCCTCGGTCGCCAGTCCCACATAGTGACAAACACGCTTGGCCCTTGTTTGCTTCTAGAGGAGCTAGCAGCCCGAAATGGCCTTATCCTCAGTTTACTAGAATGACACTTTACCCCGGGCTCTATCTTATAATTTCTAAAAGAATATGTGATATCAAACTATTATTTATATTCATTATTAACAATATTTTAAAAATCATTATACAATACTCAGACCATATGTATTAGCGTGTGGAAATTAATGCGTTTGTAAGTAGAAAAGGCATGCAGGGACTTCAAAAAGTTTCTGGAAAATGGAATTAAAGCATGAGTTCATTTTGGTGCAACAGAATCGTGAAGTCTACGTGTTTGTTTTGTTTTTTTTCTTTTAAAAATAATATGCATCTTCCAGGAATTTCAAGAACATTGTGAAGATCCTTGTATTTAGCTCAAGTCTCTAGCCTTTTACACGTGGAACTGGTAACTTATAATAACATAAAAATACTTTTAGCCTTGGTCTTTAGCCAGTCTTTTAAAACAGTCTCTAATCTAATAAAGTGGGTCAGTGACTCAAGTATCCACATCCACTCATCCTCGACAGAGAGATGACTAGCAAGAGACGGGTTCCAACACTTCAACTTTTCTTTTACAAATTACAGAGAAAAATTTATTTGGCGAGGTTTTTGCCATAGGGCGCGTGTGCTCGCCAGACAGAGACAGACAGAGAGACAGAAAGTGAGAAATCACCCCCTGGGGAGATGGCCACGTCACAATCCCTTCTCCTCTATTCTCTTCTCAGGATCTTGGACACACATGCACACACGCCCGGCGTGAGTTTTAAGCCACCGGGTCCGGGACTCGAACTGTGGTCGACTACGTGGGAGTCCAGCGACATAGCCATTACACTAACTGCTGGTCCCAAATTACAGAGAAAATTTAATCTTAAAGGAAAAGATATACTAGGCAGGAGTGTAGTAAGTTAGTCTAGAATACAAAAGAACTTACTATTTTCCTCCCCTCTCTTTAGAAGGTTTGTAAACTCACCATGTCCTAGAAAAATAGGATACTTGCTGACCTTATACTTGAGTGTCCCTTATTGAGGGAAGAAAATGCCTTCTGTAAAAGGAAACTTTTATAGAAGTAAAAGGCAGGTGCCTTAACATTTTTTTAAAGTAGACCTTCTTTTATTTTGATTTTCTAGTTACAGATTTTAATTTTTCTTGTTTTTGCTTTTCTAACTAACCTTTCTTCTCACTCACCTCTGTTTGATCTTGTCCTGTTATTTTGTTAAGATTTAATTTTATTCATCATCATTATTATTAATAATATTGGTATAGGTAGGGCATGTGTGCTCACCAGAAAGAGAGAGACAGAGAGAGAGAGAAAGGGAATGTAGGAAAGCAAGCTGGCAGGTCCGGGACTTGAACCGCTTATCTTCAGTTACGTTTTCTTTCCCCTCACACCAAGTGCAGTGGAGCAGAAGTTCTGAAAGTAGACCTTCTTTTATTTTGATTTTCTAGTTACAGATTTTAATTTTTCTTGTTTTTGCTTTTCTAACTAACCTTTCTTCTCACTCACCTCTGTTTGATCTTGTCCTGTTATTTTGTTAAGATTTAATTTTATTCATCATCATTATTATTAATAATATTGGTATAGGGCATGTGTGCTCACCAGAAAGAGAGAGACAGAGAGAGAGAGAAAGGGAATGTAGGAAAGCAAGCTGGCAGGTCCGGGACTTGAACCGCTTATCTTCAGTTACGTTTTCTTTCCCCTCACACCAAGTGCAGTGGAGCAGAAGTTCTGTGTCTGTCACCAATCCTTTATTGAAACTGGTAACACACACAATTTTTAACAGAACGACAAAAATAACGTTCCCTATATACGGCCTTTCACGGGCTACGTGACTATACACAAGGCAGAGTGATACAACCTAATCTTCATCTCTGTGCACCGAAGACACCCACAGACAACATGTGCACATTACAGTGAAATGACATCGCAGGTCCAGTGGAAAGTCGGCATCCTACAAACACACGGAGCTGTGGCGAGCGGCGTCTCGCGGACCCCAGCTCTCAGCACGCTCACCCGGAGTCGGAGGCGGAGATGGGCTGTGTGGCTATGAGTCTCTTGAGCGAGACCACCTCTGCCGGTAAGTTTGCAATGCCCGGCTTCAGATACAGGTGCCCAGGCTCAGAGGCCTTGTAGCCACCGTCTTTACCGTCAACAACTCCAGTTTTGCCATTCAGCTCCTTTTGATGCCAGTGTTCCGATTTGAGAGACCAATCCTGAATGTTCGTCACCTGCACTGAGAAAGGTGTGAGAGAGTGCACCAAGCCCGGGGCACCGTGCTTCTCCAGCTCCAAGTGCCTTTTAGACGTCATGTCGAGGGCCGAGGAGAGTTTTTGCGTAGCATCAAAATCATGGTCAAATGCCTCTACTTTGATCTGCATGGCTTTGGCTTTGATCCGAAGCTTGTGTGGCAAGGCAGAGGAATTCACTTCCGGAACCTTCACCACCGTGGCGTGGACGCGCTTCAGTTCAACCGGAGAGTGGATGGGGCCCTTGGGCACCTGCTGCTCGTCCTCGCCATCGGAGGACTTCCCCACGACTCCGTCATCCGTCTCCGAGGTCCTGGGCGAGTTGCTGGAGGAGCGGCTGACCTGCAGCAGCGGCGGGGAGTGCGCCAGGCCAGCAAAAGCGCCCCCCATGTAGCTCTGGTAGATGGAGGCCACGTAGGGGCCCCGGTCGTCGCGCGGCTCCCGCGCGTAGCTCTCCAGCTCCACCGGCTCCTGCTTGATGGCCTGGAACTTGCCTTCGGGACTTCTGCAGCTGCCCTGCACCGGGCTCTCCTGCATGGGGTCCACTGAGGACACTTCGGAGGCGTCGGACAGCGAGCTCTGCGGGGAGTGCTTGATGACGGAAATGCAGCTGCCGGCCGCCATGGGGGGCTCGTGCTCGTCCCCGAAGGCACCCACGCCCGACTTGGAGGGCTGGCAGTCTGGGAAGTACACAGCCGGGGGGCTGCTGAGCTTCTGCACCTCCTGCGCGTAGGCGGTGGAGCTGATCAGGCCGAACTTCAACTTCAGCGCCAGCAGCTCGGCTTTCAGAGTGGCGTTTTCTTCTCCCAGGGCAATCAGCTTGTTCTCCAGAACCAGGTCGTTGAGCCGGCGCTTCTCCCGGGACCTTTTGGCAGCTTCGTTATTCTTGCGCCGTTTTTCCCAGTACATGGCGTCTTTCTTGTCGTCGGGGATGAACTCCCGTTTCCTCCGACAGGTGGACGCCTTGCTTTTCCCCACGCTTCCTTCATTCAGAAGCAGCTCCTCCCCCGCGGTCAGGTCTTCGGCCGCCTCGGCTAGGGCAGGACTAAGGACCATCAGCTTGTCTCCACTGCTGCCAGGCTCCAGAGACGCCTGCTCCTTCTTGATGGTCTGCATTTTTCTCAGCTGCATCAGAAACGGCCTCCCCTGGATAGACAAGCGGGAGAGCAGGCTATTTCCCCCGCGTTCTCGCACTCTTTAAAAACCCCGGTTTACCATCCATCGATAGTCTTCCTTTCTGCCTCCTGTCCCGGATCAATCTGTCAGGCTCCTCTTACTGCCCGGAGGGCCGTCTTCCCGGTGACCTGCAACACACAAAAGCAAGTTATTCTCTGACACACGTGCATTACCAACGACACCCAAAGAACACGCAAAGCCCTTAGGGTGTCCCGGCGCCATCAGGCCCGGTTCCTTCCTTCCAACAGCTTGCAGTCTGGAAGAGGAAGTAAGCCACCCCCCGACACCTAGACTATAGAGCTGTAAAAGAGGGTCCCCGTGGGCCCCCAGCAAGGGAGCATGCGGCCCAGGAGCACGAGAAACACACAGGTAGACACAATAGATCCACCGCGGCCTGAGAAAAAGGCAGCTGTGCTTGCTGAGAACCGGCCCGGCAGGGCAGAGGGACGCGGCCCAGCACGCTGCCCAGACAGGTTTCCGACAGCTTTCTGCCATGCCAAGCCAGCGTGCTCACGGCCGGACTCCTGGGCGCCTTGACCAAGTTCCACAGGCACATACCGGACAGCTTCAACGGAGCTACCTCCCTGTTTCCACAAAAGACAAAGCTCACGTTTACCTGCCCCACGGCCCAGTCGGCAGCACTCTGCAGTGCTGGGAGCCACGTGGCCGACCGCGGGCTGGGATCCCAAGGCTGGCTTGAAAACATAATGGCTACATGGTGCGTGTGCGTGTACATGCATGTTTGTGTCCACGTGTGTCCATGTGCCCAGACGCTGACACGTTGGAGGGCCAGGGAAAGGGAGTCATGATGTGATGAGACCCGTGCTCTCTATCACAAATAAGATAACCTTAAAAGCCATACCTACAGCTAAGTCATCGTTAGTTTGGTCTTGCCGTACTGCCAGAGGGCACGTGCACTATGGAGACAGAGAAACACCCCCACGGGGCCAGGTCACACCTCGGTCCCTTTTCCTCCATGTCTTCATCGGGCACACATATGCCTGGCATCTTTTCTCAAGCTGCTGGGGGTGGGGTTTAAACCACAGGTGGCCACGTGGGACCCAGCTCCCCATGCATGGCCCGTAACTGCTGTGCTCCGGGGCCAGCCTCGCAGTCCGCTTCAATGTGCCTTGACGAGGCCAGGAACCTGCCGGTCGCATGCTTGACGGCTTGGCAGACTCACAGCTCGGTGAGTTCCACCAGGTGAGTCACCTGACCACAGAGCCACCTCTCCAGAAGCATCTGTGCTTACAGAATTAGAAACGCTCCTTTTTCTGTTTCCTCCAAACTCATTTGCCATTGAAGATTGAAGCATACAAAATACTTTAATCCTAATAATAATAATAATAAACTTCAGTTATATAGTAGCTTTGGCCCAAAACAAAGTAGCTATTCGAAGAGACATTTTTTAAAGACTACAGTACATTCTTGAAACTTAAAATGATTATTTTCTTTCTTAATTGTGGATATGTGTGCTTGAGAGACAGAAAGACGGAGAAAGCACCCCTTCGTGGGGCATGGTCACGCCACAACCTCTTCTGCTACATCACTCCATCCTGTCAGGACGTGGGGACACACATGTGCACACACACGGGTGCACACACAAGCCCAGTGTGTTTTCCAGCTGCCTGGGCTGGGATTCCCATCACCATCAGGCACGTGGGATCCAGCCGCCAGGCGCAGCACTGACCCACGGTGTTAGGGGGTTGGCCCGAAAATGATTTTAAACTGACAGAGCGTAACGACGGAAAAAAGTCCTTTCTATTTTACTAATTACTTTCAAATAAGATGTAAGAGCTCAAAAATAGAGCCGTCAGCTAGTTTCCTCTTTCCGCTGGTGAAATATTTATAATAGGAATCTGGCCTGCCATTTGCCTTGACATGAGATAATAGGTCCGTGCTCTGCCCCAGTAACTGTTCTCGTGGTGGTTTCTGGGGCTGCTTCCACACACCGACGCCCCACTTTTGCAGTTGGTAACGCTTTCATCAAGTCGAGGCGGCACTCCTGTTCGCCCGGCGGCTGCGTGCTCCCTCCGGCCACGGTAAAGAGTTTGCCTTCCAGCTTGGTGTCACTTTTCTTCCTTATGCGTAGTTTTATAATGACTGATGAAATGAGGTTGACGTCTATCAACTGGAAAAGCCTGGCTGCTTCTTCTGTCTTTCCCAGAGGAACAGAAGGAATGACATCATCATTTCAGATCAGCCGTGATTCTGCCCGTTCACGGGCCCAGCACGGTTCCGGGTACAGCCTGTCACGACTTGTGATTATTAATACCAGGTTTCTGTCGGGTTTTTCATAAAGAAACTTCAGTGGGAAATGAAGGCGAGGAACAGAACAAGAATCTTTCTGATTGTCACTCCAGGAAACGACACCGCTTCCCCTCTCCACCTGGATTTGTCTTCTGTATATTGAAAAGCAGTGGAAATGCACTGCTCACGTCACACCAGACCCACGTAGACGTCACAGGTTTCTCAGGCAACTTGTACACACCGGCCACGTGACCCTGGTCCTGGCAGGGAACGCTGGGGGAGGATCATGGATGGGACCCTGTTGAAGGTGCTTGTCTTTGTCTCCGTCTCTCACTTTCATGGAAGATAGACATACTTTTAGAAAGGAAGAAATTCCACTAACAAAGGACCTTGTCTCCATTCTCAAGATGTCTTTCTCATCTCCCTTTTCGCTACACTATTGAGAGACAGAGCGCCCTCTAATGGTCAGTGGCCCTCCTTGTGCTCTACTTCTCCATCCTGTTGGGATTTGGGGAGACACAGGCACAAGCACTGGACATGTCTTTCAAAGCCACCTGGGCTGGGATTTGAACTGTGCAGTTAGCCATGTGGGATTCGGCTCCCTGAACCACTAGGCCATGGGCCACCTCCATATTACTTTTCTTAAACTCAATATTAGTTTTTAAATATCATATAGTCCCTTTCACTCTATTATTCTAGGTTATTTTCTTCACCTGAGAATCAGTCTCTTTTATGCATTTTCTTATTTATCCATTTCTTTAAAACAAACCAAAAAAAAAAGTCATCTTCCTCTTCTATTTTGCCTCAGTTATGCTTGGAAATGCCTCACCAGTCAATCTGTCTTACTCTCCCTGGGAGGGAGCTGAGGCCTTCCTCAGCCTCCTGGCTAACAGGTGTGCCCTGTAAGTAAGTAGTGGGACAGCTGGACCAGGTAGCTGTCACAATTGTAAAGAAAACAGTGACTTCCATTGAACTCAAACAGGCCCCTCCATCTTAACGTTTCCTTGACCCCTTTCTTGTAGGTGTGTAAGTTTTGTGTATCTACTTGATTATCTACAACTCTGCTGGTGCGTTAAAACCTACCGAAGACCTGTTTCTTCTCAATCTTCTTCCTGAACGTCACTGCGTGCGCTGCGTGGTTGTCCTCTCGTCTGTGTGCGTTCACTGTCTCTATCCACAGCCTCTGTCATTTATGTATCAGATGCCCCCTACTGCTGGAGGGAGTGCATCCTACTGTGAGAGCCCGCGGAGGGAGCTGGTCTCGCATGCTGTATCTTGCTCCACATTCGCTGTCTGTGCCCATGGGGACTCGGAATTGTTTCAGAGCGGAAATTAAACTCTATGTGTCTTCTAGCTTCAGACTGAAGAGCTCAGAGGCGCGACGCATCGCGTGTTGCATAGATCCTAGAGGTGTTGTACTCACTGAGAGCGCCTCTCATTCACTGAGCGCTGTGTTCAGCACATACGAAATGCCCATGGGAGCACCAGCCGCAGCTAAACCGAGGGCAGGGAGTGGCACGGGAGGCCACAGCCCACCAGAGGCGAGGGAGTCCTGCCACCTCGGCACACGTGCGTTTCCAGGAGCCTGGGTTTTCCTGCTGTGGGGATAATGGCAGAAACTCTCATGGGGCCAGCCAGTGGCTCCACAGTGACACAGTGCATGCACACACCTGAGGCGGGGCAGCCTGGCCTGGGGGTGACCACGGGGTGGATGCCCACCTACGAGTGCCTGTCTCTCTGTGTCTCTCTGAAGAGAGAAGCCTCAAAGCAATCATAACGGGCACTTACTGCTTACTGAATCCTGACTTCATAGAAGGCACTGGGCGTCTGACGTCATGATGACAACTTTCAGACAAGAAAACCAAGGCTCAGAGATGAGAAGTGACCTGGACTACCCACTGGTGTGGTGGTCAGGGTGGCTGAGCCCAGGTGGCCACTGTGTCTAAGGCTTTTTAAGCCACCAACCAACGTGTGTGTACCCAAAATCCTGCAAGGAGCAGGTGCTGGAAGAAAAGATTGTGCAGTGGCCGTGCCCCATGGGGTGGCTTCCTGTCAGTGCATGCCCCCTCCGGCAAAATGGAAAAACTAAAAAAGGTAAGTGATGAGCCCTGTGCCACAGCCACTGAGGCAGAGCTGACGCCACTTGTCCCCACTCGTCCCGGATGGGCTCATCCCTTCACAGGCTCCCCCCGCACCCCCAGAGTCGTGTGGCCCTGCAGCACAGTGCCACTTCCGCGCAGCCCCTCCCTGTGTCCCTCTCACTTGGGAGTAATTCGTGCCCGTTAACTAAGTCACCCGGGGGCGGTAGGGCACTTTCAGACTCTGCCCCAGGTCCTGGAAGCCAACGTAGGCACCGCACACCACGAGAACTCTTCTCTTGGTCTCTCTGAGCTGTTTCATATACTGAGTACTTTTCTCAAATGAACTGGGGAAACATTTGATTAAAACTGTACTCCCCTGGGAATGTCACGATAGAGGAAAAGGGGCCTGACAGTGGCGCAATATGGTAAAACTGGGGCTCTCCAAAGGAACCCTCCACGGGAAGGTTCCCAGTTCGAGTGTGCGGACCTCCCTGGCGACCTGGGGTTGGCTGAGGCTGGGGCTGGACCAGCCTGTCCGGACCCTGTGGGGGGTCTTCCTTCTCCTAAG